AATAGATTGAAAAATGATATTAAAAATGGTTTAATTCGATACAAACTGTCCATTGAGCAGTAAGTCTTCGAAAATCAGGGACCCGGTTGATGTGGTTACAGCTTTGTTTTAGATTATTTTCGTGATATGTTTTTTCAATATTTCTTTCGTTTCGTTTTAAAAATTATTACAGCCATCTGGACAACGCGTAACACAGTCAATGCCACTGATCGAAGAGTATTCATAAGTACTACACTAAGAGAATTATTACTTTATATAGTGTTTTTGACATTACTACTGATAAGTAAGATTTGGTGCTATGGTTCATTTTTGTTTATTTGGTGGTTTCATTTATGATGTGTTTTTAAATATAATTTACTGCATTAATCCACTACCCTATGGCAGTTGCGGGCTCGAAAAGAATTTCCTGTATTTCAAAAATGTGTACGATTGAATCCCAGCCTAGAGCTGAATGTTATAGGTTTGATCGTATACAGAGTATTAGTTACACATTCTTGAAGAGTTAAAAACTAAATGTAATGGTACACCAACAGCCATGATTAGAATGAGCTTGACAAAATTATCTCTGATAGTTGTTTATCCAATTAATGCTTACTTCCGTGGAATCAAGTGATACCGAGAGATCACTTGCTTATATACTCACTCATACTTATCAGTATTGATGACGACTTTACTATTCCTTCATACTTGAAAGTCGGTATATTTAAGTAAGATGACACATTTTCTTCATGACTGATGAACCAGAACAAAGACTAAATTAGATAATTTCGAATAAATTGAGAATTGGGTAGACTGTTATAAATAAATAGTATATTTGTAATATCCCAATGAGTAGAAAAATTAGATTTCTGACGTTTCGTGGCTTAGTGTAAGTCACTTCTTCAGAGAATAAATAACCAAAATAAAATTACTTAAACCATTTAAACTTGGATTAATTTTAATTTAGTTATTTATTCTCTGAAGAAGTGACTTACACTAAGTCACGAAACGTCAGAAATCTAATTTTTCTACTCATTGGAATATTACAAATATATTATTTATTTATTTATTTAAAGACTAAATTAGTTATCCATACTTATTAGAATTTAAATGAAACTTCGTACCGACATTTACATTGTTTACTGAATCATCCGTGAACTATCTTAACACATGTAAAAATGAAATAAATCTGATGTCAAAAAATTCCAAACCCTGAAATTATAATTCGTTAATCAACTAGCATTATCTTTAACTGTTAAGCTTTTTATACTTTTTTTATAGAAGTAAACATTATCAATCAGTGTTACAGCCAAAGATATTTTGTGTAAACTGTTTACCTTGAGCTATTCATCATAAGATAAACGACTTTAGAACAAAAGATAATTTCTATCATGAAAAGATGCTAGTTAGATAAGTACTGAAATTTAACTAGTACTAAATAACCATTTGGTGCCTATCCAGGAATCCTTATAAGTGAGTACCCATAGATTCATATATGATTGGACCATAAATCCTTAGGTTTTTTGGTCAACGTCATACCATATGGTCAATGTATGAAAACCCGGAGACCTATAATTTCAACTTCAGTTATTTTCTGATATACTAGAATCTTTGTTCAGTATAAAGATGGAGTGCACTATTAAGATGTCTCAAAAGGCTTGGCAACACAGTTATCCAATGCTCTTAGTATTCGTAGTACATGATTAAACCTATCTTAGTATGAAGAGACTATTTGTTCAAGAATTTTACTTATAAGACTGATCCATACTGTTCAATGTTTACCATTATTAATAGGTGACTATTGATGAATAGTCACAAGAAGACAGGATTCTCATTTGAAGCCATTAAAGCTTCTTGATAGTCATTGGCAAAATCAGTTACATTTTCTTAGTTTTCGAAAGTTTAAAACAGCAAAAGGATGAAAATGGCAAATGATTTTTAAAATATATACATATGTCCATAAATATCGCTAAGATGTAAGTTCATATATAAACGTGAAATGAGTAAGTTGTGAAAAATAACCCTACTCAAGTTAAATTTAGAAAACCTTAGTGTTGCTAACAAGCTAGTTCTATCATAGCCAAATGTTAAAGGTTGATTTTATCGAGTTTCGTTCTTAAATTAACTACCTTGGTAAGCGTAATGATACTTGACAGTTGAAATCACATGCCAATGAGCTCAGCCTCTCTAAGAATAGTAGTAAGGATTGTTAGGATATCCAGAGCTCCAGTTTACCCGACCTGATCTCAATAGCGATGGATTTTAACTTACATCATTAATTCATACGATCTTGAATTTCTAAATAGATCAACGATTTGATGATTTCGATTTGCGGTCTTAAACGTTTTATTTTATTTTATCATTCTAGTTTACTTATTCATATTTCGCTACTCGAATTATATCTAATAAATGACCTTTAATGTAAGCACAGATACTGCATGTTTTAAACTATTATTCAACTTTGTTCTCAGTTGCTTTGACGACTTTAAATTCAATGACATATTTCTACAACACAAGTATATACAATCGATTCGTAGTAACGGACGGTTCAACGACATCTGATAGTCCACAAGCATTTCAAAATATTCATGATCATACAGCTATGTGGAATGTAAGTTAGCACTTTTAAATCTTGCAAACTTTTTATTCCTGAGAGTTTTCTATTTAAATTTATTGCATAGTTCAAACTGGGAAAGCTTAGATATCAACTATTAATTTAAATACATCTCATACATGGTTATATATTCATATCAAATGTTAGTTGTATGGATAAGTTTACTTCATTCTTAATACAGAAGACACCAAGTTGTGTTTATTGTTGTAATAACTTCTCTAAAGTTTATATTCCATAAAAATTATTCAATAACTGTTCACGTTTTTGGTGCAATACCCTAAATATCCTATATTTATAAATTTAGTTACTAGTTTAGAAACAGGTCCACTCATTATGATTTTAAAGGCCAGGTTCTATTATAATTTTCCTTACTCTAACTTCTAAATGAAATATGTTACACGAATATAGATTTTGTTAAGTGTGGGGATTTAAGTCATTTGACGGTAGTTTTTATCATGGAATAGAATCAATAGGAGAATCACTGCCAACTAAAACGTATGGGACAATGTTTTCGTCAAATTTGCTAATTCTGAACACCGATAAATGCTAAGAAAAGTTCAGATCATCTATTTTTTCCAATTAGTCAAGAACAAAGTGTAAGCAATTCAATGGCGATCTAAATTTCGTGATTACCGTCTCGACATTAATTATACTCTGTCTGGTCATTTTTTGTTATAGTTTACTATTTTATTATATGTTCTTAAGATCACCTTTGTTGTCATATAAAAAAGTTAGTTGTATTAGACTTTGACCGCTCTCTAGAATAACAACAGTTCTTTTACCAAGACCCGCCTTCTCCTATAGCGTTTTGTGGTGTTAGGGGGATCAAGGCTGAGGTGTTGTTATCACATTTTAAAAGCAGCAACAAGGCGGAAATAAAAAGGAAACTTTCCGATATCTAACCAGTTGAAAACTGTATATTCCAACAATTCCAAACTCTACATGAACTCGAACCCAGGACCTTCATATCATACTACTTTTAGATCCATTGGTTTACATTTCTAACTTTAGTCAACTTGCGATAAGGTAGAACTGTCTTCCAATATCATCTGTGATATCTGCCTCACTTCAAACATAGCTGAAATTTACTGTTCACAATTTCTGATTAGAAGTTTTATAAATTAATCATTGGCAAGTATTCATTATCCATTTGATATGTTCCTGATGACTTATTTAATTTGAATAAAAACCATTATCGGTAAAAAAAACAAGCGAAAAAGATATCACTTAGAATATGAATATCTCTTTACAACACAAATTGGCTAATGGACCATTTGTTTTTGTCGTAGTAATCTAAAGACAACGCGCTCTTCATTAAAACCAAATGTCCGGTATTCAAGTTCTAAGTAGTAGTTGTAAACTACTGTAATGTGTCCACTTCATTTTGCCTTTCAATGATTCTTTTGTTGATTTCAATCAAAGATAAAAACTATATCTAAATCTAACAACTCGATAATCTTATTTATTTGGTTTTCCGTAATCTCTCTAATTATTCAAAAATAATTTTTCAGTATTAAGTACTCTTTTTAAAAAACAACGAATGCAGTATATAGTTCTTTACCATGAGACCTAAACTATAGCTCTACAACGATATATATGTATATTTTACAGTAAACAAATAATTGACGTCAATCAAACGTTAGATAAGAATGTGGTGGTCGGTATTCAATCCTTAACTTCGTATACAGTTCGTCCTGATAACCCTCACTAGATAACGCCCCAGCGGTGTATTAATCAGAAGGCGAATATAAAGCGTTGATTACGTTTATTATTGCACCACACACATATATCCAAATTTACAGGTACACTAAGCAAGCATGAAATAGTAATGCCAAGATCCAAGCAGGCAAGTGAGTGAACATGAGAATCAAATAGGCGAGTGTGCGAGCGAGTCAATGAGACAATGAACACGATTAAAATGTGCATATATATACATAGTGAAATGAATGAGTAATCAAGTCAATTAAGCGACTAATAGTAAATCTAACAGAATGAATATAGCATAGGCAGTAAGCAATGCTTAAGCATACATATTCATACAAGTGCAACAATAAGAAAGATAAAATGATATAGATAAGTTGTTATTGTACTCATGACTCTGTCCGTTAAATAAGTCAACAAAAAGGCTTGACCAAATTATATGTGAACAAACTCAATCACATGTGAGCTCCTGTAAGAACATTAAAAATTTAATGGTATTCATGAAAATAATGATGTATAATAATCACCATTATTGTAAAACTTATTTTTCAATGTACATCCATGATGGTATGGCTAGTTGGAACTTGTTTCCTTTATTTGTCGCTCTTTAAATGAGAATTTTAGTAAAACGGAGACAATTTATTTTTGTTTTCTATTTTAATAAGATTTGTTATTATCATTTTTAATAATTTTTTTTTCTATTTTCAAACAATATTTATCCTGTTTCAAAGTATATCAATGGTCAATTATTGAATTCATTATATTGGGATGCATGGTATAATCGACTGAATGTATCATTCAATGAAAAAGATTTTATTGCTCATGATAATAAAGTTTTAGGTGTTGCACGTCTTCGACAGCTTAGAGTAGATCCATCACAATGTGATATACCTAAACAGATGAGAGGTGTTATAGAAAAATGCTATCCTGTTTACAGTACAAAAGCACGCTTTACAAAGTCAATACAAATACAAGGCAATATCACACCTATTTACACAAAAAATGCGTAAGTTTAAATTATTGTTGAACTATTGTATATTCGAAAAGTTACTGTCTTGTTAAATGTCCACTTTTTGAATGAATTATTATATCAGAAGGGGTTTGTGGAGATTTTTCAGAAATTTCACAGATTGAAATCATGAGTCAGTTGAAACCAGTAGGTCCTGGGTTCGAATCCCGCGGGGTGCGGGATCGTGGATACGCACTGCTGAGGAGTCCCATACTAGGACGAAACGGCCGTCCAGTGCTTCCAGGTTTTCCATGGGGGTCTAGCTTCAACTGACTCATGATTTCAATCTGTGAATTATTATAGCTTGTTTTCGTTAGTGTTGAAAATGTTATATGGCAGAGGTGATTATAAATACTCACATAATGTTTGTCTGAATTTAAAGAAGAAAAAAACTTTTTCAGTAAACAATTGATCAGTCTGATTTGTATAAAGCCTTCTTTTAAAATATTTTTTCCAATATGAAATAAACTGAAATCCTTCAAAAAATATTTATTGATATTTATCTGGAAGTTACTTCAAATATCTTTTTGAAACAATAGAGACTTCTAAAAAAATGGATAGTGACTAGCAATGGTATCCAGGACTCGTGTTTCATCCTATTTGGGACTCGTCAGCTGGATGTACCTGCATTTCAGAGTTGATGTTCACTCTTGGGCTCGAACCCAGTACCGTTCGCTTCAAACTCCATCGCGTTATCCTCTTAGCTACTGAGTTCTGATAGCCACTTGCTTGAGCAATGATCAATTACGGTCCTAGACATCAATAGAAAGTTTCAAGCAACCGATACCAATCAGAAACTTCTGCTTCAGTATAAGTGACTGATAGTAACTGACTCACTACAAAGAATGCTAAACTGATAAACTTATCCAACTAGTTTATTTATTACGGGACGAAAAGTAACGAACTTAAAAAATTTGGATTCAAGCAACTACTCGATACACACACTTCAGTACTGATGAAACGGAGCAAATAAAAAAGAAGTGGTAGCTTTTGAAAGAGTGTTTTCCGACCAATAATTTTATTCAATTCTTGTCGTGTAATTGTTTGAGAACCGAACTATTGTATTTCTGTATTCTTCTCATTATGAGAGTTCGTTAGACGTTTTAACTATTGTCTTACGTATTATTATTCCTAGATTACTGCTTTGTCTTGATTCATTGTCATTTGGCAACTTGGTGTGCTTAATTGATAGTCAACTTTTACTAATAGGACATCATATCCCTAACTTTCTTAAAATGACAAAGATGATTTAACACCCACTATAAATGTCTAGAAGATTTAACTTTAATTTAAAAGTACGAATAAGAAGCATTAGACCTTCAGGATACTGAGACTAGATATTTGGTAGTTACCTTCATTTGTTTATGAATACCTACCTCATAAAATGTTTCACTCGTGAAACAAAGTCAACTGAACGAAAGTTTAAGTGCAATATAAAAATCTACTCTTGTTTTAAATTTTCATTGTAGCAACAGCTTGTAAGTTATATTACTTTCGAAGGCAACTTACGTTGAAAACTGACATCACCAGAAAAACCATTGAAAACCAGTAAATACTGAACAGCTATGTTGCACTAATTTATGATGTCTTGGTAGTAATCATCCAGAACCCAATATGGATCATCGATCTTATTATTTTTCTGATAATAGTTAACATTCCTAGATTGTTACGACTGGAAGAAATCATTTTAAAAAATTATAATTATTAACTGAGATCATGAACTGATCAATGTAGGATCGCCACTGAAAATCTGGAAGCACTGGACAGCCGTGACTTCCAAGCATGAGACTAGTCAACAGTACGCATTCACGATCCCACACACGAGATTTGAACGTAGCATCGTCAGTCTCGCGCGCAAACTCTTAACCTCTATACCACTGACCTGGCATCCGACAGTGTTAGTGTCTAACTTCTACAAATCCATGATATTGCGCGATCGTCCTCGACTGTATTTAGTAAGTAAATGCCTCACACCTGACACAATTGAAACCCACTGGATTAGTTGGAGTTAGACAATAACGCCGTCAGATGCCAGCTCAGTGGTAAAGAGGTTAGGGGTTTGCGCACAATACCGAGGGTTCTGGGTTCAAATCTCGTATGCGGGATCGTGGATGCTCACTGCTGAGGAGTCCCATACAAAAAGAGACCGCCGTACAATGCTTCCAGGTTTTCAATGGTGGTCTGACATCGATCAGTTCATGATCTCAATTAAAACTCAACAATCTCCACAACCCTATACTGAAAATTCTGATTAGTTTGTAAGATGAGTCTGAAAAATTTGATGCCTGGAATTCTATAAAAAAATTTTAAAAATGATAATATATATCTTAATAATGATCAAAAGGTACACGCCAAACTATAGTATGATAATCAGGAGTATTTGAATTATAGTATAAACTAAGAATCCCAGAAATAACCCAATTGAATTGATTAGAAACTGTTGTCTCGCAAGGATTCTGAGTTTCACTTAACTCTGTACTGCTATATGACTCGACACTGTCTTTTGAAATCGTTGATAAGGATAAATGATCATTATAAATACTCAACTTAATAGAATTAGGATTGCAAGACTTAATATTAGTTGCAGTAAGATGAACAGTAGTATTACAAACTGACTGAATATGTCCAATATCACCACATTTAAAGCACTTAGAATTACGAAATTTACATGAATTAAAAGAGTGGAACCTGCCACAGGACAAACATTGACCAAACTTGTGCCCATCTTCGTGAACTGCGTCGCAACTCCTGAATGAATTATCTGCATAACCTTGAGTATGCACTGGGTTGGGGTGACGTAGTGTAGTGGAATTTTTGATATTCTTATGAATCATTTTACGAAATCTTCCGTTACAGCAATCGAGATTTGTATACTTAACATTGTCTAGCAGTAGTTCCTTGGAAGTTGTATAAGGAAGCGAAATAGGCTTCTCCGGTAAAGCCAGATTTTTTAATAAGCTGTATGCTTCCTTTCCGATGAATGTGAGGAAGTGTGCCACAATATTAACATCCTCAATATCTTCCTTGGTCATAGCCCAGATTTCTAACCTTTCCAAGTAATCCTCAAAAGCATCAAAATCTGAATGTATGTCCAACCGTTCCATCACAGGCTCAATCGCTGTGCCAATATGGTAATTAGGAGTATTTGAATTATATTATAAACTAAGAATCCCAGAAATAACCCAATGGAACCAAGAAGTACTAGACAAACACGAACGAATGTACTGTATTTGAAATTTGAAATCAAACATTCAACAAGTACAAAGGAATCATTAGTTCATTCAAATATCACATATAGCCATGATTATGTTTTGTACAAAATCAAAAACAATAACATTTTTCTTGGTATAAAAAAGCATTTAGTTTGGCTGTTAGTGAAAAACATGCTCCGACAAGTTTTTGTACCTTAGGAAGATTAACACATGACAGTAACCAGCTCTGCAAGTGTCACCTTCAAAGATGAAAAGCTATTGTTCTGTGTTTAGTAATATTTCATAAATGTGAACAAATAAAACAACTTGTACACAACTAATCAATCGACTGTTGATGAAACAAAAACGATACCTTTAAAGTGAAAGTAATCACATGTTTCTTGATATTATTTTTACTGACCAAGTTTTCAACACTTATTCGGACGATGAACTTGTCGATGCTAAAGTTATTGGGCTAGTAGTCCAAAATAATATGTCATTAAATTAAGTGTTTATCTGATGTTCTTTTATCTGTTAATGATTTTTTTCAATAAAGATGGGACTTTAGTGATTCTCATGTGACAGGAGCTACCAGTTATTCTGCACCATATGGTTATTATGATGGTTCCGGTTATATACAAGATTTGTCCAGATCAAATGATGAAACTGTAGCCATTTTAAATGAGTTATTTCAAGGTCGATGGATAGACCAATCAACTCGTGCATTGTTTATTGATTTTACAATATATAATGCAAATGTAAACATATTTGTTATAGTAAAGTAAGTAATAATGATTTTCGTTCTAAAACGATACAATAATATTAATATTTATATCCATTCCCTTTTTGGCATCTGGGAAATCTCCTCCGTTACATTATCGACTTTCTAGTTTTAGCTGTCATGATTTTATTAAAAGTCTGACAAATATTTCTTTTTGCTGAATTCAAATTTCACGGGAATCATGAATCAATCAAAGTTGGACAAAAATTGAAATGCTGTAAGCACTGAAGGGAAGTCTGACCTTTCAGAAATATGCACCACGATACCTCAACTGGGAATCAAATCTAAGAACTTCGGTCCCACGTGCGAACGCCTTACCTCTAAATTACTGAACCGGGATCTAATGGTGTTAATGTCTTACTTCAATCAGTCGGCAACATTGTGCGACCATCTTTCATTGTCTTCTGTGAGTACCTCCACACACCCCGCATGGTTGAATTCAACTGGTTACGGTTTCTCGCTACGACTTCGAAAGTTTTCTCTTGAAGTCAGTCGCTGGTAATCACATAAAAATTGTTAAGTGCATTTTATCCCCATGTGAAGTGTCATGGGTATACACTTCTGAGGAGTTTCATACTATGACGAAACAACCATCCAGCGCCTCCAAGTTTTCAATGGTTATCTAACTTAGATGGGTTCATGATTTTAATGACATTCAACAATCTCCACAACCCCATACTGATAAATTTTATTGTTACAACTCTGAAAGTAGTATCAGTGGGAAAAAAGTTAGTTTGGATGTTAAGATTTCATAGATACTTTTCTAATCAATCACTGGACGTTTCACCTAGTTGCATTTAAAAGTTTGGAGCTTATAAGGATAAAAATGTCTGCGTTTGGTTTAGTTAGGGGGTATGAATGCCAGCTCAGTGGTATCGAGGCCAAGCGTTCGAGAGCGAGACCGAAGGTCATGAGTTCAAATCCCGTATGCGGGATCGTGGATGCGCACTGTTGAAGAGTTCCATATTAGAACGAGACAGCCATACAATGCTTCCAGGTTTTCACTGGTGGTCTAGCTTAGATCGACTCATGAATTCAATCATTAAAATTCTGTTGTTATGATCAATGTTGAATATCATACATTAAAATGTTATCATTAAATTATTGATCTCCATTAAAACTCAACAATTTCCACGATCCTAAACTGACAAATAATTATTTTTTTTAGCTATGCAGCTCATCAATCAGCAACTAAACAGTTATAGAAAGATTAATAACTTCCGCTAGTTTGACTAATTTTGTTTACTGATTTATTTATTTAATGGCCTTGATCTTCGGCACTAACACTTCCAAATTCATTTACATTCTCATTCGCAGTTATGACGTTATAACTGGCCACCAGTCGAAATGAAGTGAGAATTATTATTTACACTATCGTAGTCCATTATATGTATATTTCATTCCCTGTCGATTTTGCTTGCTAACGCGAAAGATGTAAAGTTTTCTACGAATAAAATACTACTCCATCATGGTACATACGTTTCAAGTTTGGCGCAGTCAGTCATGATGAAACAGAAATCAAAATAGCAAAAGTCATACCTCCAATCGGTTCTATAATAGAAATGATTCCAAAATATCTACAACCGAGTGACTAAATAAATGAAAGTATAACGATAATTGCTGACTACGATATGCTTGGATTACATGCCAACGTGGGATCTATGCCCAGCCAGCTTAACTATTCGTAATATGAATAGAATATATGGTTTTTTATCCTTATTTTATTGCTAATATGTAAAATAATTGTAAATTGAAAATATTTTTACACTTTTTCCCTTTAAAAAATATTATAGAATCATATTTGAAATGCCTGAATCGGGTGGATTATTTGGTAGCACTATAGTTCAACCAGTCAGATTATTTCGTTATCAAACAGTGACTGATTACTTTGTTTTAGTATGTGAAATTGTGTATTTGGTTTTTCTTGCCTATTATATTATTGAAGAGATACTTGAGGTAAATATACAGAACTAATTTATCTTACATATTTTGCATCTGGTTTAAATTATTTATTATTTACATACAATACAGTTAGTGAAATCATATTGAAATATCTAATAACTTTAAGATAGTTTTCATCAGCCAAGATCAACAAAACGTCGAAACATGTTAGCCATCTTTGTCAACCTTGTTTGAAATTTCTTAACAAGTGCACACCTAACTCATCATCAGAAATCGAATCCAATTAATTTAATTATTGTTTGACTGTTGGGTTGATCCAGTAAACTTCCCTCAAAAGTCAAAAAAGGTTCAGGAAACACTAAGACGCATTCTATCCAATCAGCGTTCAATAGAAGTTTAGCCAGAAACGTCAAGAAACTAAAACGTCACATGCAGAGTTTCTGACTGACTGAATACTTACTTACTTACTTGCTTACTTACTTACTTACTTACTTACTTACTAACTTACTTACTTACTTACTTTTTTAAAGAGCCCTACGGTTATAATTATAATTAATAACTCATTTATCTCATTAGTTATATTCTAAGATTTATCAAATTTATTGAGTAGATTTCTCACATATGGTTCCAATTTTACATAGAATTATTCTTGTCGGTTCCGTTGATTTTAATGGGTTATCTTTGCTTCTTATTTTAATATATCAACCTTTTCAACCTTTTTAGGAATATTTCCTGCTGCATTTCAGAAGAGGATAACTTTATCATTTTAAATATATATCCACAATCAATTTAACTAAACTGTAATCATCTACTCAACTAATGATTTACTTCGAAATGAACGATAACCTGTGAAATCAGTTAAGTATGAAGTGTTGTAATCAATGGTATATAACAATCATCGTGATGGATTACGAACTGCATGGAGTTAAGAAATGTGAATCATTTATTTCTGACTTAGTGCTTAAACTGTACACTGTGGTATATAAAAGATTTAAGTTTGATTGTACGAACTAATTCTTTCTTCCTGTACTATATCCTTATTGCAAACTTTTTTTATATATTACCACCTCTGAATTAACCACTTATATGAATCCGGTGTCCATCTTGTGTTAATGAGGTATGGCAACTTGGACCGATGCATATATGTGCGTGGTCCTACGTTGTGGCTGACTGACTGATTGTCTGGAAGCCCAACACTGAACAGTTCGTTAGTATTATTGAACAAAAAAACCGGATTGGTTTAGAGACTTATAAAGAATGGGTTTTTTTTAAATACTTCAGTGTTTAACAAGTTATATTAAATTATCTATAAATATTAGCTGAAGATTGTGTTCCTACACTTTCTTTCATTTTCATTTATTCCCTATTAGTTTTCAGTTAAACGTTGGAGATATTTTATAAATATTTGGAACTTAATGGATATTACAATGATTGTAGCCAGTATAATATGTGCAGCCTTTTTAATATATAGTACTATTATTGTTTCAAACAATATGTCTTCATTAATTAGTGATGTTTCGTCTTATCCAAATTTCGATTATCTTGCTTATTGGTATAGTCACCATATAAGATCAATGGCAATTTGTGTATTTCTTGGAATAATCAAGGTTAGTTACATTCTGTTTCATTAAAATTAATTTGGTTTAGTAAAGAGATCGTTTTTGTTTATTAATTTGATTAAATGATGCATAATTTAACGTATTATGACGTATTATGATGAAACTGTCAAAATCATGGTTCAAATGTATTCCATTTTATTTCGGTTAATTAACGACACGTTAGACAGTTAAAGGCTAAAGTTGTTATGTATAAGAAATATTTACTTGAACTGCTTCATAGTAGATTTTGATGATATTATCTGAAAAAAAGATTAAAGCTTCACAGTTCAATTTTGCAGTTCAAAGAACATAACACTTGCGTAATTCTCCTACCGAGATACAAATCTTCTGCATCTCAAGATCATACGTCGGTTTAAACATCCGTATGCACCAAAAATAAGCCATTCATTGCTACTTAAAGTTCTTGTAAATAATCAGTTCGTGTCGTTCTTAAGCTTTTAAACCGATCGATCAATTATTAAACATCGATTTCATGTTATCCAATCCTCAGTAATGATTGAACACTATCAGTCAGGTTGTAACATAACCACTAGTCCCAGTGACTCAATATTACAGTTTATTTAGATTTTTGCACCCGTAAATACAATCCATAACAGTTGGCACTAGTCAGAGTAGAATATTTGCAAGCATGAAAGAACTGACGCTCCATAAGGAGTATAAACATACACTTCCGAGTTTCAAAGTTAAAGAGATTACGACTGAGTAATTTGAACCGTAACTGACCTCTCATAGCACTAAGATATATCAATTTATCACTTAACAGTAACCAGTGCCATGTTCAACTACCTCTTAGTTTCTATCAAATTGCACCAATTAACTCTCCACATAACCCCTAGAATCAGTAACTTTATTCTTTTGAAGAGTTTTTTTTTATTTCAAATGATTAAAGATAATTAGAACGATATTACTATTATACTAAATGGAACTATAAAGTTTTTCAATCGATAAGTTTGATATGTACATTAATTGTGAATAACTTTATTGCTTATAAGCAAAGATAGATAGTGACCAGCAATGGAATCCAGAACTCACATTTCGTTCTATTTGGGACTCGTCAGATGGATGTACCTTCATCTCAGAGTTGATGTTCACTCTGGGACTTAAACCCAGTACCGCTCGCTTCAAACGCCATCGCGTTATTCATTCCTGACCACTGTCCATCTTTGCTTAGAATGCTTTTGAATTAAGGCAATATCACACAGTATGCACATATGCCAATAATAAGAGACTGATCAATTGCAATCATAAACATCAATGGTAAGGTTCAAATTCATTCGAAATTCATTTCAATCTACTTTTTTCAAGGCAAATAGTTAGAAACATGTATGAATTATGAATGAGCTATTTTTATTAAATAAATATAAATGAAGTTTTCTCTAATTCTGTAAATAATCTTTTTCCGAATCTCCTTTTTCTTTCCTCTTCGAAAAAACAGATCTTCAAATATTTAACGATTGATCGTTCATTAAATCAATTAACAAGAACAATGAGTGTAGCTGCTTATGATTTACTGGGATTTTTAGTTATGTTTTGTATTGTGTATTTCGCGTTTGCTCAATTGGGTTATTTAGCATTTAGTGCAAGAACATTAGCGTATAGTTCATTTACTCAAACAACGTAAGTATTATCATCACTATTATTATTATTATTATTATTCTAATAGAATTGTGAATCAAGATAAAACTGTAATTGATTCATTACATAATCTATAAACATTAAAACTTCACTATTAGATCACTGTTATATTTGTTTATCAAATATACCTATTAATTCAGATGGACTATAACCATGAAGTTAAGTAGATCGAATAATATAATGGGTTTTTTAATGTCGATGTGACTATTATTTATGGACGAACCAATCAGATATAAGATTTTGGAGAGAAATTCATTCATCTATTTGGCTAAATAGAGTTTTGGCATTTTAGCTGATGTCAATTCGTGATGAAAATCCAAAATCTATTTCCCAACCTTGATCATCAACTGTACATCACAATTCTAATTCCTCACATTGCTTTGTAACCTTTATTTAGTCGTACTTAGTAGGCAGACATCCTCAAGGTCACTTTAGTGTTTCTCAAATGTTGTCAATAAATCAGTTTCACCTTAGTATCTAGTTGGTTGAAAGGGATAGACAAACAATATTATAAATAGATTTTTTGTTAGTTAGCACTCATATTGTTATGAACAAAAACATGAGTGGGGACAACTAAAATGTATTTGACACAAAATTATGGAGCATGTCAAACAAATCTGAGAAGCATGTAGTAAGTCGTTAGTTTGCAAAATATCAACCCACCGTCTCAAAGTTGACTGTTCCTCTTGCAAATATCAGTCCATTGTCTCAGATTTCATTGTTCCTGCATTTTCATACCAATTATGTTCCGTTCCCGTCCCTTCCTTATCGACCTTCTACTGAAATACACTGTATGCCTGACCACTGTTATGTGCTACTTATGTGGATATAAGTAACACACAACACAATATTAATAAGGTGTATTTGTAAATGATTTATTCTGAAATATACCTTAAGGTTCTCATCTAAATATATGAATACTGATCTTATATTAAGTCCTCATGGCAAATTTTAAAAAATGAACATTATGTAATAATAGTAATAGTAACGTTATTCAAATTGAATATATAAAATCTGACAAAAGTTCTTTGTGATGTGTTGTTCATATTTACAATATTCAAACAATACTACCACAACAAGAAAGCTGTTTATTCGAGGTCTGCCGATAGTTTTAACGAATAGTCTTAAACATATAATTTTGGAAGTTCTTTCACAATTCTTATTATTAACAGATTGTCTTTACAGTTTCAGATAAAATTTGTTGCATACAGATTAAATATTCATTTAATGAACTTAGTCTTCATTAGGACAATTCATTCAATTTAGGTGAAATACAGAATGATGAATACACTAATCATTGATTATATTTTCTGGAAATAATCATTTAATTTCACTATAAAACATATTACTTAGTTTAAGTAAATAATCATTCATAAAATAAATGAGATAGGGATTTTAGTTTTGTGAATAACGAAAGTTGTTTTGATATTTAATTATTATCAGAAAGGGGTTTTGTGGAGATTGTAGTAATTTAATAGTTAAATTTGTGAGTCGATTAACGCTAAACCACCATTGTAAACCTGGTAGCAACGAACGTCCGTCTCGTTGGAGTATGAGACTCCCCAACAGTGCGCATCCACGATCCCAGTCGCGTGATTCGAACTCAGGATCTTCGGTTTCGCGCGCGAACGCTTAACCTGCAGACCACTGAGCCCAGCTTCCAAAAGTTTTAGTGTCTAACCTCAACAAATCCACGAGATTGTCCCACCGTCCATCATAGTCTTCAGTGAGTTGTTATCTTACAATAAACACGGTTGGACTCCACTCGTCATGGCTTCTCACTGTAACTCTAGGAAATACCTCTTGAAGCCAGTCACTAGTGAGTACATGATGTTTGTTATCAGAAAGAGGTTTTGTGGTGATTGTAGTAACTTAAAAGTTGACTTCATGAGTCAATTAAAGCTAAACCATCATGGAGGAGTTGTATACTAGGACGAAATGTCCGTCCAGTGCTTCCAGGTCTTCCATGGTGGTCTAGTTTTATTCGACTCATGAATTCAACTATGATATTTAATTGTAATATGGGATGATTTATCAACTCGAAAGCTTTTTACAACAAATTCCATTTACGCAGAATTTTAAAAGTTCATCAATGGTAGGATTGTCAAGTATGTCTGACTATCCAATGAAATTAGTTGAACTTTCTTACCTCACCATACTAACACGATAAGATGACAAATAACAAGACGAAAAATAAACTAATCTAAATAACGTTGTAGTAAGAAGAATTAGTAAATATTGGGATTATTGTTCTAAATGGTAATGTAAAAAAGTATACATGAAAGAATACTGAAATTAAATGTAGATTGAATGCATCTGTACGATTGTGAATGATTCTGAGTCATCTCGTTGAAAGTTTTCAATCACTGGTCCAAGTTATAACGAGCATTTCAACCAAAGAGTTTGAGTTTACCAATATTACTTAGACCACTAATCAATAGCTTCATGATCTCATATGAAATATTGGTTTGGCCGCGATTAACCCTCTTCTAACTTATTTTCATACAAGTAGGTGTCTTCCGTCGATTTGGGTGGTAGTTAGGTAGACGTTAAGCATGTTCTTACCGTCTCAGTCTATGAAGACATACAATTTCATCAACTAGTCCCATAGTATCCCATGCCTAAACTCAATATTGATCACTTTGTCGTTCCACAATATAAAAACAAGATTTTCAAGATTGTAATGACCAAACTCCTTTGGCGTACGCAAGTTTTCTAATTGCAAAGACCATATTTCACAACTGTAAAATAACACAGAGAGGTCAGTTGCTCATTAAACGCTCCTTTTTGTTAGCAAACGGACATCTCGCCTATTGCACATTTAACGCAAGTTAGTATACGCTAACAAGCCCTTTTAAATTAGTGGTGAAATTTCTCCAGAATACAACTCACCAGAGCCGATGAAACTTCCAAGACACGTAAAGTAGTCAATACACTCAAATTAATTTATATCCTTTAATTATTATCTGTTTATCATGAAAGTTACATTTTAAATTGAATTTGCGTAAAAGACCAATTAAAACAACAGTTTTTAGATAGATATATTAACCAACCTGTTAATATGATCTCCCTAAGTAGAAATCTCAATTTATGAACAAATTTTATTCATATAGCTATACACTTAATAATTTAATGTTTAATAAATATCTATCTCTTTATTTATTTATTTATTTCAGTTATTCATTATTTCGTATAATGGTTGGTGATATCGACTTTCCATCCATTCTAAAAGCTCATCCTGTTTTAGGACCAATATTTTTTGTGACTTTTGTTTTCTTTGTATTTTTTGTTTTATTAAATATGTTTCTTGCTATTATTGATGAATCGTATAAAACAACAAAAGCTGAATTAATTCAACAGAAAAATGATGTAACATTGGGGCATATACTTAAAAAAGTAAGAAATTATTCGATTAATTTAATTATGTAATAATGCAATTATGTACGATTGGATACAATTTAATGTGATGTAATACAAAATTCAATGATAATAGGATTTAATATAATGATCAAAATATATCATCAGTAAATAATACCGATAAATTGAATAAAGTAGAAACACACAGAAAATCTTATATCACTTGTTGATATCAACAGTCAATTGAAGCTAGATCATCATGGAAAACCTGGAAGCATTGGACGGCTGGTTCGTCCTATTGTAGGACTCCTGAGCAATGCGCATCCACGACCCCACCTCGTGGGATTCGAATCCAGGACCTATCAGTATCACGCATGAGCACTTAACCACTAGACCGCTGAAAATCTTATATTTACAGAAAGTTAATGAATTCATCTTTAACACTGAACTAAAAACTTGAAAATCTAACTTGTGTTTTTATCACTTAATGTCAAATTCATTTAAAGACCTACACATTTCATCAAATAGTTGAAACTAGTTATACAAAACTTCATAGATTTATTCTATCACATACTCGGATAAAGTTAGTTACTTGTATATACTACCAAAGAAGACGTAATATACTTCCTAAAAACACTTAAACACTTGTTATGAATGAGTTCATAACGATTTCAGAGTAAAATATTTGACGATCAATGTCCTCAATCTGCTATTTCTTATTAATCTGTATTGAGTAGCCTTGCAAATAAACATGTTTTAAAGGATTCTTCTTTATTAAATTCATTATTTTATTTATAAAGTACGTTCTGAAATTCTTCTCTAATAATGATTTGTTTTTCAATTACGACTGATTAATGTACTTTTGCACAAATTGATTTTTGTCCAAATTCATTTTCTATTGATTATTAGAAAGCTAAAGATTTAGCTAAAAGAGTTCAAAAGAAACGATCTAAATCGATTGTTCGTATATTACGAGAATATGGATTGATGGGTAAAGAAAAATTACCCTATGAAGATTATCGTCAAGCATTAAAAAGGTACACCATAAAAATAAATTAATTAGTTAATGATTAACTATTCAGTTTTTGTTTGCCTGTTTAATCTTATTGGATAAAGTTAATATAATAATAGTAATTCGAATGTACGATCTTTTTCATCAATGAAATTGATGATTTTTGAAAGGGGGTCAAGAATTTCTTCTGTACACATAAATTGGGGTTAAATGTACGAATTCTAATGGCTTCAGCTATATGTAGGAGACAGGGATAAACTCTGTAGGGAAATGCTTCCAACTTATCTACATTATGACCGCTATCAATAAAATATGCCAAAATAGAACTTCGTATTGTTTTTATCTGGCCCCTTATATTTCTGAAAGGAAACATTCTGTTATCATCATTACAATTTAGTGATAATACGTATTGTAAATAAAAGATAAAAGAATTTCAAAGAGATTATGCTAGAATTCTGTATAATTCTGTCAATTGCATAGTCTTTTGGCTTTTGTGATAGAATAGAGCTTGAAGATTTAATTGTAAGATTCAGATTTAAAGCAGTGAAGTGAAAAACAAAGCGTTACCATAACTACCAAATTCAATCCAGACTGACATATTCATATCATTTTGGTTAGTAATCATGCATTACGTTTGTGACAAGATCTTGTAGAACTTCTAAAATAGAACGAACTGCTCACTAAGGTACTGAATGTAACAGATTATTTCAATTTAGTAGATAACCAGCGCTGCTTACTTGAGCACGTTTTCTAAATTAGAATCATCATCAGAAATCTTACTAATAGGAAGTGGTTAAATCAGAATTCAATATTTTAGACTTTGATAAGTGAGATGAATATTTATCTATTTCACTTATTAATTTATCCTGCTACATTATCTGAAAAGTCTTATTTGCTGTTTAGTTTAATCTATCAGAATAGACTATTCAGCCATCTTTATATTGCAATTTTATCTTAGTTGAGGATCTATACAAATAGTCGTATATTCTTTGCGCAGTATTTCTTTAGTCACAGAAACACTACGATCTTTTAATAATCCTGTAACTTGGCGAGAATTAAGATAGAGCTTATGAGCTCACTCAACCATTATCATCTCGAAACTAAACGACAGATTATCTCAATACAATTTAAACTGAATAATACATTCAGATAATGTTGAAACCTAGTTATTATTCAATCTGATCAAATCTTTTTATTTATTAGCTCATACATTATCAAGTGTATTCTAAAAACAAAACACTTTCTGGAAATTGTAATTATTTGAACACTCCAAAAAACTGTTTAAATGGCAGTTAAGTCTTTAAAGTTTATTCTAATTGAATATTGTACTTTTCCATTCCCTTTTTTTCATTATCGTACAAATAAATCAATAAAGCCATGGATATAGTGAACCAGAAATTTTTACAACTTTCGTGAAATACGATGAAGATGGTGATAATAATTTAGATCTAACAGAACAACAACAATTAGCTTATGAAATTGACTTGGGTGTAAGTATGAATGTAATTATCATTACAATTTATTAGTTCAGTTTTTTGGTTAGAGACTAAATATTCAAAAAGATATTTGATTACTACAGTTGAGAAAAATTTTACCGGTACTCAATAGGTTGATAATTAAATCAGAGTGAAATTTAGTTAGATGTAACGAACATGAACTCTAAAATTATAATACAAATTAGATCCGCAATCGTAGAAGCACCTTACTGATTAGCATTCCAAAGTTATCATACAATAGCTTATTGATTCTTGGCTTTCTAAAGGTTTACCGACTGATTTGTATCTTGATTAAATTTATCATAAAAATATATATAATAAGTGTTAAATGCTCACTGTTGTGAAATACTGACTTATTGTCTTTAATTAGTATGTAAGTAATGCATTCATATATGTATTTGATTTCTTCAAGTCTGAAGAGGTATTATTTCTTTCAAGTATAATTTCGAACTGACATCCATTCTAACAATGGTGAATCACATCAAATGCTATTCTTGATCATCATATTATATTGAATGCATTTTTCTGAACTATAAATTATTCGATGATTCCCATCGCAAACTGCTGAAAACGAGGGAATATTTGATAGCTATTTCGTTCAAGAGTAAAAATCCCCAACAATACTCATTGACGACCATGTACAAGATTGAACCCATGACCTTTAATTACAGTGATAAAAACAGCAATATGGAACTACTGAGCTGAAATCTAATGATTCAGATTTTTAACTTTAGCTACAGATTTCAGAATAATTTTCCAGAAGTTCCGATGGGGAAGTAACAGATGGAGTTAACCGTATAAATGAGTGAAACAATTTATCTACTGATGCCATTGTCTAATGTCCACATTATATCATTTCGAAACTTGAATTTCATGAGTTCAGTACCATGTGTTTCGTGAATGGTTACGATAGTGGGGTTTCGAATTAAGATAAAACAACTTTACAACTCTCCCCACTCTTTTGTGATTCCATAGTTGATGTCGATATTTGATGACAGTTATTTTCAGATTGTAAAAACGTTTCAACAATTTACTTTTGTAAATTATTTCTAATGAGGCTATAAAGCACTGTATGTTGACACACGCACAACTAGACACAAACATGCAACAATATCTGTTACGATGAACTGTATTACTATACTTAGTCTGTCTATAGATAATCTTAAGAAGTTGTTTCCTATTGTTTAATCATAGTTTCATATGAATCATCTTTTTACTTCAAAATCAAGGTTATCTATAAAATTGGAGAACCAGTTGATGAAGGGATTGGGACAGATGAAGATTCCAATGGAAATTCTGTTAAGGATGAAGATAATGTAGGTTGAAGATGATTTCATATTTACGTAGTCAGTATAGTTTTAAAAAGATGTTATCTAATTATGAGAAGTTGAGTGAAGATTCATCTTATACTATTCGTATACTCCCAAGATAGGTAAAGTGGCCGGTGTGTCCAACTACTTCACTCCCTATCACTAGTTTAGGCGGTGACGCAGGTCAGTCCTGAAATAGCATCTTTCATTTGAAGGAAAAGAACACTTCATTTCTACCTGAAGTTTGTGCTGATGATGTCGTCCAGAAGAACGATGAGAGCTCCACGACCAAACCATCCAGATCAGAGAACAAAACTCCATCAAAATGATCACTTTACAACGAAATAAATGCTTAAAAATAAACTAAATATTCAAAAGATTTAGTTTATCAATTTCCTTATTTATATTTTGATATAAATTGCAATTGAATAATCAATATTATTAAGTAAAATTATGTAATAATTATAAACTATTTCTAATTCAATTTAGTATGTTGATCCTGAAGACTATAATGAATTAATCCAAAATGTTGATCTTATGGAAGCTACACTTGTTTCAATTATTACACGTATAGATGAATTATTAGCTAGCCTAGAACAAATTGAGATAGCAAAACGTGAACATAGAATACAACTTAGTGGAATAATTAAAGATATGGTAAGTGATCAATGTATTTATTCATGAATGATTCCGTTTTTAATGACAATGTTTATTTGTATGGATACGCAAATTTGTATACTTTCCTAGATAATCATTGACTACCAAGTGATAAAGATTGTCATTTTATTTTAAACTACAGTGCTGATCAAACATTGTCAACTAATTTTGGAATGTGATCATTAGTCTAACTAAATTAATAGTTCTCAACTCCAATTTAAATGACAATTAATGAGGCTACTTTCTACTTCTTTCTTCTCTTTCCGCTAACTAGGGACAAAATTTGAAATAGTCCAGAACATCTATGCCCCTAACGAGAAGGAATAGTATCTAGAGTATAACTTTCACGTATACACATATATTTACGATGCCCTTAAGGACAGGGTAACAAAATGAGATACTAAAACATTAACAAACCAATGAGACAAATGAGTCCTTCTAAGCGGAGAAAACTGACAACGTAGGAACTTGCAAAGACGAGTTGTACAAGTTATTTTGAGAATCCAGTACACCTAACAAACTTTTGATATCCTATTTTTCGTGTTAGCGGTCAACGGTATTTGGAAAGAAACCTTTGATCTAGACTCTAAACTATGTATTCGTTCTTATTTAGAAATTCTATCTCAACGTTCAGGAAGAACAAAATCCTATTCTTTTAGCATGTAGAATACTCTAATTGGTCGTGCTCGCTGGGAGACCTGAAGTTCGTACCTTCGATACCTGGCTGAAGAGTCATGGATATAAACTGTTGGAAAGTAGCATCAGTACACTAATTCCCAATAGCTGTTTGGCTCAATTCACTTAGAGATGCACACTGCAAATATCATATAAAACGAAAAATAAACTGCTTATTTCTATTTTGATTATTTCTAAGTAAATGAAAGAGGAACTAGACCCTGGATTCAGCACTCAAACATCAGTAGAAATACTAACGGACCAAGACGTAGTTGGATCTAGTTGATGGTATCAAGAATGAACTGTTATATAGTATCATATATAGTGAAAATATGATCACAGGTGACAAGGATTCTGTAAAAAAAAACGTTGACAAATGGATAGATCAGTCATTCCAGTCTTATAAAAATATATAGGGAAGCAAACATCCATCTTAACATTGATGGTGTACAACTCTAATAATTAAATCCAGAAAGTATGTATTTTTATATAAGGTACTAGTCAAGCTAACGAATCGATGCACTTACATTGTGGTCGGTTATAATTAAACCATCACTTATTACTTTAAATATCCAATCAGTGTTAATGAAGACATTAATTTCATTGCATACATTCTGAATTTAACATAATATTGATGTAAAAGAAAATACATTCTCACGATCTTATATCCATGAACAAGCTTATTATCAGACTATTCAAATAACTGAAGAAATATCACTTACCTAAGACAAAAATATAAAGAGTGTGATCGAGATAAATTAACTCCAAGAGTGAAAAGTGGCTTAAAATAGATTATATTCTACTTAGTCTATTCAACTAATTCTTTGTGAGAAATCCAGATAAGGTGATACGCAACGTATTCAATATTGACTATGTTATAACTTTCGGTCATTTTTATGTCCATTTATTAGATAAGTAGTACATATTAGTGTAGTGTTTACTCCAAAAACAAGGATAACTAAACATCACAAATGTAAGATGTCTCATTACTAAAGATACAACATTGCTACTTACCAATAATGAAATAACACTTTATTTTTCATCTCAATTTATGATATACAACTTGAATGAATGATCACTGTCCTATCTTTTTTCTTTCTACATTTTAGTCTCGAACACTCCAGTTTAAATAAACATATGGTTATAAACGAGTTTACTGATATTTATTTAGTACTCTTCATAATATAATCACTGGCAATATCACCATTATCATCACCATAATGAATGTCATTTATTATTGACTAATGTTAACGACTACGTCCTAAATAAACGCTTATCTAAAATTTAACAGAACTTTAATTAAGATTGATTTGAATGCATTGAGTTGTGTTGTACTTTAATTTTTTGAAGTTTTAGTAAATCCTATCACCATGATCCTTATTATAAATTTCTAATTATATAACCAAGATTTGAATCTAACAATGAATCAATTAGATAAATAATATCCAAGTTTAAGTTACTTGGAGATTACAGACATTTTACCATTGTAATGAACATGTTACCACAATTTCATATTACTAAAAATAATATGGACATGAGTGAACACTAATCATTAATCTATCCTGTTTACGATAGAATTCTGAAATGTATAGAAAAGTCTACTTTAAACGACACTAGTTTAATTATGGCTCATAGTTCTGAAGACTATACAACAGTTCTTCAGCATGAAGATACCTTAAGTAGTCGTAAATATTGACGGTATAGGAAATGAATGTTAAGATGAACGTGAGGTTTGAACTAAGGTTGTCGTTGTTAGCTGTTTACTTAGCATGTCTAAAATAATCAGATGTGGTTCAAATTAGGCGTCTAAACACCAATGGAAAATACACTGTAACACTACTTTTTTAAAACAAACACTGTTAAAAACCGCAAGTACATTTAGTAGTATTAATAATACAGCTTATTATTAAATGATATATGTACTATCATAGAACAATTATATCTAACAGTACAAACTAATTTGAAATCCTCGGACGACAGAATCTAATGATTAGGGGCTTTAGGGAAGATCAAAACTTGACAAATAGAAGCCAATCTATACTAAGATTAAGTACTGATGAATGTGAAATATTTGCAGCATAAAACATGTAATAATTCTTTAAGATCATCCAATCATCAGTTCTCACGTATGTACTGTAAAGTAATTTCCTCGAAAATTGTCAAAATACTTTGCCGTAAACCTGATGATTAAATGGTTGTTAAGTGAACGAATTTTGACAGAATACAACATTCGAATACCATACAAATATCTTCATGCGCCGATCCATATGAATCAAACTTTCCAGACTTCATAATACTTTCTATTATTTTGTACCATACAAGTGTGTAATCAGTTTTAGATTAAAAGATATACCAATTAGTAATGTCGGTATTTTTTTACAAGACCTTCAATATGGTGAAAAAACTACGAAATTTTATTATGCAAATCCATCTACTCTTAGTAGTGTGAGCAATTCTTAAAAATTTCATTCATTATTATTTTGTTCAACTCCGCCTGTAGCTCTTATAGGGTTACTGCCGGTCCCAAGCCCGGGAACTTAGATTCGATTTCATCTACAAACACTTTTGGGAATATACACACTTAGTAGCTGAATCGCTGAAAACAAACACGGACGTAATTCAGTTTGGTCGTTGTTTTTAAGTGTTCACCAATCATTTACTAATTTAAACAAAGACAAAGGTACAAAGAGGCACCAAAGTATGTATGCGACACATAAATCATTGGAATTTTTCATGGGGCTGAGATACAGATTGGGTGCTCAAACCGCAGCAGGTGGTTTCCTTAGGGTACCAGCCCCGAGCCTTTGACCTAGTGGTCTTATCCACATGGCAGTTAGCCACTTTAGAAGATGCCGTCTCATGGTAGCCAGCAACCAAGGTCAGATCCACACCCTAATAGGTCACTCAATATCCCGAAGCCCAAGCGCACCATTCCAGTCACTGGGATAGTGTAACACAGTACTAGACGCCTCAGCGAAGTCCAGATATCGTAGATACATAGGCGCTCTACTCCTATAGCAACAGCTTACAGCCAAATGAGTATTGAAACAGGTCGGTTATTGAATAGCAAGAGGGTTAGGGTCATTATTTTAGTGCTATGGAGCGTATGTCCCTGCAACCTGCAAACTTCTTGGACCTACTTTTCAGCAACCTTTACAACGCTAGTCCTGGTTTTACCTATATATTGCTCCTCATCATTGTCATTGTTGGTATATCCGCTCAAACCCGTTGACTCGGCACCTGATTTCTAATTTTTTCAAAGTATGGGTCAAAGACCTGACTGGTCCCGAAATCCCCTGGTTCGTGATTCTTTTTGTGTGACATTAATTTATACAGGTGCTGTGTACCTACCTACAACTTCACTGCTAGGTTTATGTTGGGAAGACGTACCTCCCCCTCTTCCTTGCCCGTAGACTGCACCTGTCCCTTGATCTTATATATAGGTCGTCTGAGTCAGACTGAGTGGAAATTAACAAATAAAGCACTATGAGAGCCAAAAAGGCAGCGGAAAATGAACCCAAGTAATCAAAATTATGACATAATACTAATGAAGGTACAGAGGAAACAAAAAGCGAACTACTCTGCATTACAACCTGTTCTGGATTATGTACCTAAAAATTCCCAAATCCTGGTTATAGGGGGTTCTGAAGACTCAAACCCAACAAAAAACACCAGTCTGACCACTGCACCGATAAACTACTTCAGGGAATAGCATTCTATAAATGATACGACTTACTAACGTTGTAGTTGTATGGTAAACAAATTTTCAATGTAAATGATAGGTAGGAAAGCTACATTAGTTAGGGGTTTTGAATTTTGCGTGGGTAGGACAAAGTGAGTACTGGTCGGCTGATGGAGATTAACTTGTGGCAAAATATTTAGGAACCAAATAGTAAGTTCTGGCACATTTTTAGCAATCGAGAAATACAATGCAACTATAGGTTTTTCCAATTAAAGTGAATAATTAGTTAGATTTTTAGTGATTACGCATTAAAATAGTAGTTAGAAGTAGGCAATATTTATTACAAAAAAATATGAAACAAACACAAAAACGCACTAATAACTTATATAATCGGGATAACATTTACATAGTAATAGAAAATGGAATAATAATGACAAAATTAGAAAATAACTGGCGGTTTGTGGCAAATGAGGAAGCTAAATTCTGACTGGTTTTAGTGACTAGCTAATTGACATATTAGTTTCGTGATTATCTGCCAACGGTGCCACATGGTGACTGGACTTGGAATTTACTGCACCTACCGTTTGATGCGCTTGCTTTTTGCAGTCAGCCAAATATTTCGCTGTAGGGATTGCTGCACTTCCCAATTGTACGGTATCAGGTTGGACGGCGATACATAAATTGCTAGTATTATTTTCTGTATCGTTGGAATTATGGTATACTTCACCGCCATCTGCTAGAAATATAGCAGCAACTTCACGGGGTAACTGGTCTAATGGCAAACCAATGTACTCTTCACCAGTTGCTGGCACAAGAGATTTGTCCAAGTCAGAAAAATAAGGATGCAAGAGAGCATCCCTTGCAGTAATACGTCGCGAAGGTTCATAGATCAGCATGGCCTGTAAAAGGAATCGATGACAAGGAAAAATAAGTTACGTGATACGTTCCATAAATACAAAACCACGGCGAGATATATGTAGTGTTAACCAAAATTAATGTACTTCACACCAACTGTAAGTTTACAAACTTGAGTGAGTCAAGTGATTAAATTAAGCCGGTAGTGATCTAGTGTAGAACCGATTAGTGGGAAGGTGCTATTCCTGAATAATAAGATTTATTAATTATCTCATAATAATTACTTAGTAAACGTGTACACATTCGTTCACTAGTTTGAGAATAACATCTGGTTTGCGGGCTTGTGATACCATCTTTTTACACAAACTGAAGTGCAGGTAGAGCATAGCTTTAACTCCAGATACTTGATACAATTTAAAACCACAACACTGGTTTAAATCGTGCTTGTTCAAAAAAATATCCACTTCACTGCTCTTAGCTCAGTTGAATACAGAAAATATGGCACAATTTCACAAAAAATTGATAAGCTAGTTTCTGTGTACGTGCTAAACTGAATGGAACTACGAAAACTATTCTTCTAAACTGCCAGAAATTATTAAACGTTGTTGTAAGGACTGATTTAAAAAGTAATTTACCTGAAGCAAATCAAGACCAGGACTGGTGAAGGCTTTAGCTATATTATCTTGAATAGACAACTTTGAATTGCGCCAAATAGGAAAACTTTTCTTTTGATATTCCGGTAAACTTGAAACTCCTGGCCAAACTTCTTCTGATGGCGTACCAAGGAGCCGGAAAATGCGAAAAAGTTGATCTATTTCCGAATCTCCTCGAAATAAAGCTTCTTTTGTTGAAACCTCAGAAAAGATACAGCCCATAGACCAAATATCTACGGCACAAGAATACCTTTGAGCCCCAAGCAAGATTTCTGGAGCTCGATACCATAAAGTAACAACCTGTTAAGATAAGTAGTATGGAAATAAAACGTTCACTGAAATGCAGCAAACACCAAATCATTTTAGGATGTTGAACTCATATTCTACAGAACGCCGAATAACCAATAACTAATCACATGGGCGAGCCTGTTACGAGAGATCCTGGGATGGTAGCTGAGCGTTCGTATGGCTTTGGTAAACATGCACTACCTGTGAGCCTGTTTGCTTTTCGCCTGGCTGATTTCCAAAGCTGTGATAAATGTGACTTGTTCTGACCCAGATGTATGCCAAGTTTTGTGCTTTTCATGTGTAGATGACATGTCTAAATCACCACAGTAAGTATAATAGTCCGTGATCTTACTTTTAGACACCTCCGGGAGAAGATTATGCAACTACATTATTCTTTTCTACGTCATCCTTGTATTAACTTCTGTAAAATAAATAGATGATATCCAAAAAGCAATAAAGGTTAAGTTGACTATTTTCTAGTCTTGAAGATATCCCATACACCTGCTTTGGAAGGTTTTAACTGGTTTATACCAATAAGATTGTTAAGCGCTACCTCCGAACCAAACTTTTACTAGGACTTTTGCACAGTCAGTAGGAAGCATGTCTAACATTTGCGACATGCCTGGAACTTAAATGCCATTCAATACAGCGATTTTTAGATTTGCCAGGAAAAGATGCTTCAATGAAACTGAGCTTTAGTACTGTTCATCGGCAAATTATACGCCAAGATCGGTCGGATGACAAACATCGGGACCGCCTTAATCATAGCTCAAAGACGACATTTCGCACTATCTTAATCACTTTTGACATCACCTTTTGAACCCAGGTGCTTGTGCCACCAGAATTTATGACATTAACCAATGTCCCAATAAAACAAGATAAGAAAATATTTTCTCATCAAGATGGAACCATAGTTAGTATACAATTTGGATACTTGACTTAAATCCAAGTTAACTGAAAGTATGCCTACACAAATGCATACCTCATGAGTTAGTACACGAACAGGAATTCCAAAAGCACGAGCCAAACCGAAATCTGCAAGTTTGACAATTTTTCTTCCAATATCAACCAGGATATTTTGGGGCTTTAGATCCCTGTGAATAACTCGCCTGCCGTGACAAAACAATAGACCTTGCAGCATTTGATACATGAAGCTCTAAAAAGTCAACTGCTGTAGCATTTTACCTTAACAATACCAGGTTCGAGTAAGTTTTTTCTTCCACTGTCATCCAAGTAGCGTTTTAAATCCAAATTTAGGTACTCAAAAACTAAGTATAGTCTTCCATTCTCCATGATTACCTGCTCGAGACTTAAGAGCATAAACGGATACCCGTGAATACTTACTTCACGATGTTAGGATGTTGTAATTCTTTTAGGAGTGATATTTCCCGAATAGCCGTCGAAGGAACACCCTCTTCGTCATTTTCGAGACGTATCTTTTTAAGTGCAGCAAATTTACCGTTGACTTTGTTTTTACATTTATACACCACTCCGTATGTTCCTAGACAAGGCGGTTACGAGAACCTAGGAATACCTTCGCCGATTTTCTCCAGTCTTATAAAGTCGGACAAGGCGTAATTACCGCGTGTCGACATTATTTAGGAGAAAAATGTGCTGTATTTTTAGAGAAGTTTGCTGAGCACTGCACTGATTTAGTAAGAAAACAAACCTAAAGAATTCAAAGTCCGAGAAATCACAACTTGTCTCAGTAATCACGCGACAAAACAATGAAGGTCAGCTTGGAAGCTTCGGATAAACTATATATGGGTCACGATATTAATTCACCTAAGAAAACACATTTCGTCCTATTCAAACGTGTTGGAAGAAGAGGTAAAACACAATACTTGATATCTTGTCGTCCAACATAAAATAGCTTTTGTGCATTTTTGTTTTAACACCCAATATATCTATCATTATTTCGAAGAACCAGACGACTTGGGTCGTTATGTTAATCTATGATTCCGGAGCCATGGTACTATCCATTATGAACAATCTAGTTACTTGGTCGTACTAGTTCTAGTGAATTTGATGTATATTAGTAGGTTAGGGAATTGGGTATAAGTGGATTTGCTTGTCTTAGAGCAATGGAATTTATGGAACTGGTAGCTATCGTGTTATGAGACAGTCGACTACATGGCAACAATAAAAAAATCATAAGGTTAGGATCCCAAGTAGAGATAATTTTCGATATCTTTATAGTGATGGAGTATCAAAGCATTGGTTTCTCTTCCCTCGCTTCTTGATGTTACGGTGCTATTCCACGTATTTGGCACCATCCAGTGTGAGTAGTTCAACAAGTAAAAACAAATAAATCCTCGAAATGAACAGCTCTGTAAGTCCCCGACGTTGATCTTGACCTCAATGGTTTCAATGGACACACCATAGCTGAAGGCACTCAGTCACGTATCCACATCAGATCACAACCTCATACGTAGTGCTACGTATCCCTCACAGCGACTAGCCAGATTGGATCAAACGTTTCTCAACATATCGATAACCTTCCTAATATATCTTCGGACTCCTGCAATCCTGACTCCTGATTTTACTGGGTTTTGGATTTACCAATTAAGAAGAGGCTACAGACATAAGCTTTATCGAAGCCCGAATATCCGTGGCATCTTTAAGCCGGTCAACCGCAGTCATTTGGGCGGTGGTTTATATTTCGTATGTTATAAAAGGTGAATTTTTGAGGGTAGACTTGTGAGAATCGGCAGCCACTTCATTATCCAACAGGAAATTAGTGGGTTGAAATAGGAAAGACTATGAAATGTGCACACTAATGGTATGCATGGACAATATAAACAAACGAATGTTTACGAACAACAGGGAGGCGTAGGTGACAGTCGCTAAGGTGATAAGAGATGTGCCAATAATCCTGGAAGCAAAACCCGACTCAAAGCCTCTACATAGCGGTACGTGGCAGCAAGGGCAACCTTGCTAGTTAGTTTGGGTGATCGGTGGAAATCGAATTAATCTTCCTTTCTTCTGTGTTAAACTTTGATTACTCGAAGTTCGTTTTTTGAGGCTCCAAAAATCGTGATGGATTACCCAATGTGTATGCTTATGTATATGAATCCCATGAGTCTTGGCTGATGTAACCAATGCATGTAGACATATGGAATGGGTACCCGCGTCGGTCACCACTAGGAATATAAGCTGAAAAAATGTCAGCCCTTTGTCTAATAAAATCAACGACCTAATTCTGCAGGCTGAAATCATAATGAAAAAATGTAGCAGCAGATACCAAACGGAGGTGAACATCAACTCTCTTTGAGAAAGTGCCTATGCCTATGTCTATGTCACAAGGTGCAGAGGAGAAAGCCTTCATACCAGTGATATGCACGCAATCTATAAAAAACAGTCAATCACAGCGAACACGTTCAGATGTAGGGATATCCATTTACACTCTCTGACAGGTGAATACACTTATGTGCATGCCATGGGATGCGTAAGTTAATACCTATTTTACTTGTATTCACGTCGACTGTAAGTGATCTGGTGCAACACTAAAGAACCAAAACAAGGGTTGCCAACGATTTCTTCACGTAATCAAGTCTATTTGAGTGGTTCAAAGCCAACGAAAGCGAACTTTGACGCTCGGATCACCGTGGGATGTCATATGAGAAACTATGCGCCGATTTGCGTATAGTGACTACGTTTAAGTGGTTGGAAGTGTTTGATATGCTGTACGCTATCGTCAAGTAACGTCATGTATTCGTGTACTCTAGGCAGCGAAATCCAAGGTGATAAAACTGATCTCCAGGAAGTCTATCACTCAATCCTCCGTTACACTTTGAAACACGTCATTCTACCTCATTCAGGAGTTTCATATTCCTTTTGTGTTGAGGGTTTGCAATAATGTTGTGCATCTCGAGATGTGAACAGATGTTGGCGTTGGATAGTGTAAGAAAGAAACAGCAGTCAACATTTCTGGGTGACTTTGGATAAAGTGTAGTGTGGTCCAAGCTTCGACTGAGCTCGACAGATAGTCAGAAGCAAACCTAGATAGCGCCTTGTCAAGGTTAAAAAGAATCATCTACCACAAAGGAGGTAGAACACCCGTCAATTATCTGTAGCTCGAAGTTTCTTCATTTGGAAATTTCGAATGCTGCATAATAAACTGTAGCCTTTTTTCACTTCTCCTAGCATTACTAGATCCCTGCTCTAAGGGACTAAGGTACCAAGACTCTTAGATCTTTTTAAAATTAGGATACCTTTAAGAGGGAGTTGCCTAAGTTGTATGCGTGGTCTGTAACATGTCTCGGACTATTTTACACTTTGAAGCGTTAAAAGTAAGTCTTTTGTTATCTGCCCAACTTTGAAGTCGAGTCAGATCCTCCTGAAGTGCCAGCTTATCATCTTATTTGCAAACGTCTCTCCAAAGTTTCACATCATCAGCAAAAAATGACATGTCAGACGATACCTGCTGTGGGAGATCGTTTATGTGTATCAAGAAAAAAGGAGGTCCTAGTAGTGAACCCTGACGGACCCCACATGAACATTCCGTAGTTTGAGGAATTTGAAGTTTACTCTGACCCTAAGAAGTTGGTTATTTAGATGTGAAGTAAGCCAATAATACATAATAATTTGAGTTTATTGATAAGGTACATTTAATTTATCTTATCAAAAGCTTTTGAGAAGTCAAGGTATGTAACACCAAACTTCCCGTGCGATCACGGATGGTTGTCTATCTGTCTACCACGGTCTGCAGGTTGGTCTTAAAGAAGTGAGTCTTCCTGAAACCGCGCTGTGGGGGGACGTTTGTGGGTAATAAGTGGCCACGTAGACCGTCGCATATCAGGGACTCCATAAATCTGAACGTATTAAGAGAAGTGCTTGAAAGTTTGTTGTGTTGACCTTCTTTGAAAATTGATGACCGATTTTCCGGTAGCATTCTTAGGCTTAGCCGACGTGAGAAAATCACACACAGCCGTTTGACAAGATTGAAGGGGCTTCCCACAGTTTAACAGAGTGAACCATGTCCGAGACAGGGGAAGAATCCTTGTCTAGGTACTGCAGTTTCCGACACGTCACTCGGCACTCATGTTCGCTTCTGAGAATCTTTTTGAGTTGCAGGTGTGGCCCATGTCGATGAAGTTAGTACGGTATGGTTGAAATGTTTTAAAACACTGTTCTATCAGAAGATCCACAGTGTCACTGTCTTTGCCGGTTGAGACCTAGGAGTTGAGAAACCCCGGTTTGGCTTGACGAAGAGTGGCTGCATAGCAGTATAAAATTCTCGGGCTTGGAATAAATTTATCGGTAAGCTTTATCTGATGCTGAAGCCTGTCTTCCCTAGTCGTCTTCGTGCATTTTTTTCTTGGTTGTTTTAACTTGTATTCTGTCTAGTGGTGTCTTTTGTGTCTTGGCATTGGAAAATTAAGGTTCTTTTCAACTGTACGTTGCTTGCAACTTGTGGGCTGTGTAAAAGACACACTGTTTTATTTCACACGGGATCGTGTGTGGTGAAAAATCCCAATGAGCGTCCAAATCCAGTTGAGCGTGGGCTTCCCATTCCACCTGCTGTAGATTGTTCTGTAAGGCTGGCACATTCAACCGTTTGAAATTCCAACGTCTGTCGTTGGTAGGGTGTTCCAGCTCAGTTTTGTTGATAGAACTAAAGGCTATGACAGGATAATTACTTTTACCCAGAAGATCAAGGATTGGGAGGTTGCCAATTACGAATTCTTTGTTTGTTAATACGCAGTATGGGCGTGACAGCGTCTGGTTATTCCTCCAATGAGTTGCTAGCTTCACATTTTCAGAAAGCCCCAGGTCTTCAGTGAGGTTGAAGAACCTAGCTTCAGTAGAGTGGTCACCTCCTATGTACATGTATTCTGCGAAATTAACTCTGAGAATATTGTAGTCTGTTGGAATCACTATATGAAAGCGTTTGAGACGGATAAAGGAGGATAATACCCCCAGCATACGATTTTCACGATTAGTATCAGCAGTGGGCTTCATGTAAATGACTTCAACCAGACGCCTCGAGGAGTTAGGAAAACTTACTGAGGAACATACGCATTCATTAAGACTGACAAACTCTTGAGTTTACACTTGATTAGCTACCAAACAAGATCATAGGTACATGGCTAAAACGTCCCTCATTTCTGCTTTTCCGTCTCTGTGAAACAAAGACATGTCAGATATTGTTAGCTTCTGGCCCTTAAATTAAAATGTCCATTTACCGGATGTTCCTATGAGATGAGTATTACTAACATTATTTAGTTCACACATCTCATCCACTATGTTCAATAAACTGGCGGAGTTCATAAATAGACAGTCCATACTTTCGACTTGAAACTCGTGAGCCTCCTCGTCCTGTTTGTCTGAGTGGGCCTTATGTGAATGGACAGGCAACCTAATTACACAGGGTAGTCAGTATCCCTTACAAGTTTTATCCTCATTTCTAGTAGCCAATAAGTGGAATAATTCACTCAACTCTGACTTTAAGGTTAATCATCGCGTCATGTGACCTACTCGGATGAATGTGTATTCCAGTTGATAGCCGGCGTCTGTTGACAAGAGATGATCCGAAGATGTCAGCCGTCCTTGAGAGGATGGGGAGGTTAACTTTACAAGCCAGGGTCCGAAATCCTCGTCGTCCTTGGCTAGTCGCATCACTTGTTGGGTCAATAGGTTCATGAACTTTAAAGTCCGCTTTATGAATTTACAGCCTAGAATATCTTAGTCGGCATAATCAGGGTCCGCTTCTTCTGAGACACTTTTCACAATGATATTTCTTCTGAGAAAAAATGTCTCTCGAGATTCCTTAGGGGTACTCCTGACGATATTACGCCCAGAATATGGTAT